ATTGTAATCAAAGATATAGTATACTTATTTATAAATATATTTATAACCTTCATGTCCTAAAGCTGGCCCAATCAATTCACGAAATTTGGCGGCTCTATCAGCTTCAAATATTTGAAAATTATCTTGCCCAAACATTGGTTCCAAAAATTTGAACAAAAAATTAGGCCTATCACCTATTGATAATGTTGATTTTATAATCCGAGGATCTGTCACAGAAATAGTATTCTCAAAAAGTGGTCCTTCAGGCTTTACTACATGACCTTGAGTTGAATGTAATTTACGTAGATAAGGAATAAATCCACCCGATGATGATAATTCATCTTTATTTTTTGATTTATAATGAAAATAAGAATAAAAAACAAAATAAGCTGGAAGAAAAAGACACAAAATTAATATAAAAAAATTCAAAACATTTTTTTCTTGTATGAGTTTTTCAAAATCCATTTTTTTTATATAATTTCGATAATTGTTACTGTTACTACTTTACTCCTTGGGAAAGTTTTAATTAATTTATCTGCAAAGCCTACGCACTCACTAAAATGGTTACTATAATATTAATATCTTTTTTCTGTAATAGGGATAACGATCTTCGGCGTTAAGCAGAAAGCCGCAGAAATAGCAGAAAATATTAGTCACCTGATTTTGTGATTGATTACCTTACCCTTGTCTTAGATCCTTCGTCTCATTCCAAAAAAATGGGGTTTCGTAATTTCTCTATAAAAACAATGCCCGAAAAAGAAGAAGCTAAAGGCAGATATATTAGGAACATGAGGGTAAGTATTATGTTTGCAAACCATTAGTTCAAACTATAGTTTCTTTTTATAAATCACTTAATATAAATCTTAACATTATTTATTGTTTAAAATTTTGATTTCTTTCTGTTTTCTTAGAGGAATAACATTCTATTTGAAAATAAATTTAAAAAAGTTTAGAGGTGAAGATGTAAGTAATTCAAGATAAATGAGCATTTAAATAATAATTATACAAAAACTTTTGAACTAATTTATTTATTTTGCAATAGATGAGAGTCTGCCAGCCTGGCAACCTTCTCAAGAAAAATGAATACTGTACCATAGGAAGTAAATGGGGAGGTGAAGTGACCTTCTATATAACTTGATGGAATATGAATATGGGGAAGTTGAAAAACTTTACAAAGGAGAAAATGGCACTAAAATTATAAAGATACATTTTATAACCTGTTGATTTTGAAGTGAAAAGAAAATTAGAAACAGTTGGATTAATCTGCTCAGGTATGCTTTGTTATGCAATATGTCCATCACAACAAGCTTCCCACTAAGCCTTATCCACTTCTCTAGTATATGTCAGTATTACGATTACCAGTTTGGTAGAAGATATCAAAAAAAAAAACAATGTTTGAGATGTTCTAAATAATTATAACAATTTTGAAAATTTTGAAAATTTTGAAAGCAATGGCATAACAGAATGAATGAGATATTTTATATTGATATTATATTTAAGTCAGGTGATCGGCGCGAATCTAAAATTCCTTAATTAAAATTTTTAAATTTTTAAAATGAAATATAATAGAAATAATAAAACATTGAGAAATGTCCTCCGAAACAATCGGTGGCAGCAGCAGCAGAAATAGCCACAGCAGCAACAGCAGCAATCACCACCAGACTATTACTATCATAATAGTGGTGATAATATAATAATAATACTTATTATTATTATAATTATTATAATGATGACGATGATGATGATGATGATGACACAGTCATCAATGAAGAGAAGGTGGAGGAGGAGGAAAATGATGGTGGTGGTGGTGGTGGTGATAGTGGCAGTGGTGGTAATGTTGGTGTTGTTGGTAGTGATAGTGGCAGTGGTGGTAATGCTGGTGTTGTTGGTAGTGTTGGTAGTGGTGGTAGTGGCAACAATAATAATGGTGGTAGCAATAATGGTGGTGGTGGTAATGATGGTGGCAGTGGCATTAGCAGTGGCAGTGGCAGTGGCAGTGGTAGTGGTAGTGGTAGTGGTAGTGGTAGTGGTAGTGGTAGTGGTAGTAGTAATTGTGGTGGTGGTGATAATGCCATGGATTTTAAAGTGGTAATGGCAATAAAAAAATAAATAAATAAATATTATTATTATTATCATCATCATTATAACTTGTCCAATATAAATATATTTTGTTAATATTAATATTTAACTTATTCCAAATGATTTGGTAATTAAATTAAATTGAATAATAATATACCAATATTGAAAATATTTATTCTCCTTTTCTTATATATATATGATAATAAATAACAAATATTTTAATTGCCATTAGAATCATCTAGTTTTTTTTTACTCATGAAGTTATTTTTACATATTATTAATAAATAATAATCCATAATACATATTAATATAACATCTTTAATCATATTCCTTTTCTAAAATATATAGAAAAAATCAATAACAATAATAATCACATACCAATTATATAAGAAATACATGAATGTTTCCATAATTTTTATTTTAAAATGCATTCTTTGGAGAAGTCTGCACCAGAATTATTTTGTCATTACATTATCCATCAAAAAATTTTAATAATAATAATAATAATTGAAAAGATAAAAAAATAAAAAAAGTAATCAATAATTAATAGTTGATGCAACATTGCATACATATCCTTTAATAATTTATTATTAATAGTATATTGTTATTAAGGAATATCAATTAGAATATTTTGTTGTTGAATTTTCTATCAAATACAAATAATTTCTATATTCTAAAAATAAAAAATAAAAAATGGCCGCGTAACGATTGTACACTGCTAGTTTAACCTTTGGAAAAAGAAATTAATATAATCATACATACCTTTTAATAATAGTAGTAACATCAATGCTTGTAATCTTGAAATAATTTTCATCTTTTGTTCAATTGATATGATTATAACTCAAAATTTTACATATATACATTATTTATTTATTATTTTCTTTTCTTTTAACTTATCTCCATCAGATCCTACTAATGTCACTAATAAATAAATACCATTTAATTTAATCATTACATTTCTAAAAATATATATAAAAAATATAAATAATAGAAAAAAAAATAGTGATAGTATGAAAATTAATCTTTAAAAATAATTACCCGCCATCCTTGAAAAGAGTCTGTTACGCGAATCCATTTTTGTGCAAATTTGAAAATATTAAATAAATATCACCATGTTAATAAATTTGTTTACCTAAATTGAGATATAATAATATAATAATAATAATATATATATATTAATATGGAGTTGTATCAAAATGTTTCATTACACTAATTGGTAAAAAAAATTAATAATAGTATAAAAATAATCTTTAAAATAACTAATATTAATATTAATAATCAAGATCTGTTACGCGAATTCATATTCGTTTAAAAAAGCAAAATTTGAAGCTATGTTAATACTTTTCTATAAACAAATTTATGCAATTTAAAAATAATGTTTGGAAATTAGAACTTAACTATTATGCTTATTGTTATGTAAAAAAAATTAAGTCCAAAGATTGAAATTGTGTACATCTATCCAATTTCTTAATTTATTATTATAGAACTTATAAAACGGGTAGACCAACTTCATGTTAAGATTTTCTTCGAGTCTTATTTGTTTGCCCTGGCAAAAAATATGTCAAAATAAAGGGATTTCCATAAATTTTTATTTTTTATAATTCAAGAAACAATCTTGGTTAAATCGGATTTTTTCCTTCGATTTTACATATAAAATTATGCACGAAGATCATTAATTTTATATATGAGTGACACTTGACCCCCTGTTGGAAGGTTGACATGTATAATTGTGATTAATAATAATTATTATTCTTAATGTCAATGATCCACAAGGTGTCAGAATTTGCAAGTTTAGAATCTAATGGATCAAACCTTATAAGATTCATCTAAAATCAACTAGAAATAAATTATATTATTTAATTAGAATTTGCAAATGATAATAATAATAATTTACATATATATATTGCAAATATTTACCCTAAATCTAATCAAGTCAATTAAACAAAATCTTATGTAGCAAAACCAGAAAATCATTTAGAAGGATTTATTGAAAAGAGCTTGTGTTTTGGGTAGGTATGGGGAGTTTGGTTTTGTGGAACCTAAAGATGAAAACCACAATTAGCTGCAATTCAATTTTCATATGCTGCAACTGTAACCACAGCCACGATCAATTTTTAGATGCTACAATTAATTGAGAAGCAATCTTTAGTGGAACCAGTCAAACAGTTAATGGTGCCAATCTATAATCTTGATTAATCAATATTCTCTTAATTTCTACAAATGTATTGACTAATGTTAATATTATTTTTTTAAGATCTAAATGAATAAATATATTTATTAGTTACATTATTCAATGTTTTAAAAAATTGTGATTTTATACCCATATGCATCTCAGATACAACGGTGCATACATTATGTGGATATTCAAATCTAATTCCGTTTAATTTTATATGAATAAGTTGTACTTGGAATAAATGCAATAAATAGTTCAATAAATAATTTACATTAAGCTTTAATATCTATCAGACAAGTGGCAGAGTTTTGGCAGTTATTAGTAAGCAATCTTAATCCAATCCAATCTAAAATTAAATTTGTAAATACAGACATAGTTTACTTTAATATCCAGAATAAGGGATTTCATGTACATTCTAACACATTTTTTTTATCTTTGTTATGTCTTTCGCTATTTGCATCACTCGAAATCAAAATTATTTTTTAAAAATTCATGTTTTTGTACCTTTTATATAAAAAGATACTTTTTATTGAAGAATAAAATGTTGAGTATTGGTGCATATAAGATAGAAAGAATATGCAACTCAGGATATGACTCAGTGAAATAACTTTCATTTCTTTAAATAAATTCCAGCTGAAATTCCAAAAATAAATGGTTATAATGAATGTTGAAACCATTTTTTAAATCTTAGTATGTTTTTTTTTGATTATTCTTAATAGTCGCAGGACATTGCGGATCTACAGGGGGTCAAGTGTCACTCATATATAAAATTAATGATCTTCGTGCATAATTTTATATGTAAAATCGAAGAAAAA